GTCAAATCCCAAAGACAAAGGGAGAATCTAGAAAGCAGCAAGAGAGAAGTGATTCATCACATACAAGAGATACTGTGTGTAATTAATAGCCCATTTTTCTTTGGAAACTGGAAGCCAGAAGACAGTGGGGTGACATATTTAAAGGACTGAAAGAAAAGAACTGTCCACCAATAATTGCATATCCGGCAAAACAAAAACAGAAAGAGCTCATTACTAGTAGATCTGTGCTACAAGAAATGCTAAAGGGAGTCCTCCAGGCTGAAATAAAAGGATAATTGAAGCCATATGAAGAGATAAGGAACACAACAGTAAATGTAGCTACATAGATAAATATAAAAACCAGTAATATTGTATGTCTGGTTTATAACTCCTTTTTTTTCCTACATGATTAAAAGATAAATAAAGCAATAATTATATATTTATGTTAATTGACCCACAATGTATAAACATGTAATTGGTAAAAATAACAACATAAAGGGGGGAGATGGAGTTTTAAAGGATCAGAATTTTTATGTATTGGGTTGGCCAAAAAGTTAATTTGGGGTTTTCCATAAGATGTTCTGGAAAAACCCGAATGATCTTTTTGGCAAACCCAATACTACTGAAAGTATCTTGGTACTAATTCAAACCTGATTCTTACAAAGTTAAAATGCTAATTGTAACCCCAGTGTAACCCTAGTATTATGGACTGTATTGTGCCTCCCCAAAATTCATATGTTGAAGCCCTAACTCCCAATGTGGATGGTATTTGAAGATGGGGCCTTTGGGAGGTAATTAGATGAGGTCATGAGGGTGAGGTCTTCATGATGAGATTTATACCCTTATAAGAAGAGACCAGAGTGTGCTTGTTCTCTCTCTCTCTTTTCCCCGCCATGTGAAGACATAAATAGAAGTAGTCCTTCTGCAAGCCAGGAAGAGAGCTCTCGTCAGAAACTCATTGCCAGTATCTTGACCTTGACCTTGGACTTTTCAGTCTCCATAACTGTGAAAAATAAATGGCTGTTGCTGAAGCCACACAGTCTATGATATTTTGTTATAGCAGCCAAGCTGACTAAAACATCCAGGAAATAACCTTTTTTTTTAAGTATACAGAAAAGGAAACAAGATGGGAGTTAGAATGGTAAACTAGAAAAAAAAAATCACTCACAGAACGAGGCAGTAGTGGAGGGATAAAAAGAAAATTGAGGAATAAAAAGAAAATAAGACATAGAGAAAACAAATAGCAAAATTGCAGAAGTAAATCCTTTCTTATCGATAATTACTTGAACTGTAAATGGATTGAACCCTCCAATTAAAAAGAAGAGAGTGGAAGAATCGATTTTTAAAAATGATCCAAATATATGTTGTCTAAAAGAGACTTACTTTAAATCCAAGGACATAAATAGATTGAAAGTAAAAGGATGAAAAATAAATTCCATGCAATAAAAAAATGCCAAAAGAGACCTGGAGTGGATATACTAATATCAGACAACATGGACTTGAAGTCAATAATTGTGATGAGACAAAGAAGGACATTGCATGTTGACAAAAGGGTCAATATATCAAGATATACCAATTATAAACATATATGCCTCTAACAAAAGAACCACAAAATATATGAAGGAAAAAACTGACATAATTGAAAGGAGAAATAGACAGTTTTACAGTAACAGTTAGAAACTTCAATACCCCACTCTAAAGAATAGATAAAACAAGACAGAAGATCAGTTTAAAAATAGAGGACTTGAATGATGCTATGAACCAACTATATCTAAAAGACATCTAGAGAAGACCCTACCCAAAACAGCAGATTGCATATTTTTCTCAAGCACATGTGGAATATTCTCCATGATAGACAGTATGTCAGGCAACAAAAACAAATCAAGTCTCAATAAATACTAAATGATCAAATCCATAAAAATCAATCCTATTTCTATGTATTAGCAATGTACAGTTGGAAACAGGATTTCTAAAATGCCATTTACAATGGCTCTAAAAAAATAAGTATTTATACCTATACTTAGCTATAAATCTAACAAAACAAATATAGGATGTGTATGGCTGAAAACTTCAAAATGCTGAAGAGCTAAATAAATGGAGAGAAATACTGTGTTCATGGATTCAAAGACTCAAAGGAGTAAAGATAAGAAATTGATCTACATCAGCTCGGTGCTTTGTGACCGCCTGGAGGGGTGGGATAGGGAGGGTGGGAGGGAGGGAGACGCAAGAGGGAAGAGATATGGGAACATATGTATATGTATAACTGATTCATTTTGTTGTAAAGCAGAAACTAACACACCATATTGTAAAGCAATTATACCCCAATAAAGATGTTAAAAAAGAAATTGATCTACAGATTTAACTCAATTCAAAAAATTCTAGCAGGACTTTTGAAGACACAGACAAGCTGATTCTAACATTTATATAGAAAGTTAATAAATAAGAATAGCTAAGACACTTTTGGAAAAGAAGAATAAAGTTGGAGAAATTATACCATTTGATTTTAAGTCCTTTTATAAAGTTAGAATAATTTAAACAATGTGGTATCAGTAAAGGAAGAGACACATAAATCAATGAAACCAAGTAGAAAGTCCAAAAGTAGATTTACCCAAATATGACCTTTGATTTTTAACAGTAGTGCAAAAGAAATTCAGTGAAGAAAGCATAATTTTTTTCAACTAATGGAACTGGAACAATAGAATATACCCTTACGTAAAACAAAACAAAACACCTCTACCTAAATATGCTAGATTATACAAAAATTTACTCAGAATGGATTATTGATCTAAATGGAAAACATGAAACTATATAAAACTTTTAGAAAAAAAATAGAATAAAACTTCTGTGACCTAGGGTTAGACAAAACAGTTCTTTCACATGAAACTCTAAAACAATACAAAAAAATTGAACGTTATCAACATTAAAATCTTTTGCTGCATGAAAGACACAGTCAAGAGAATGAAAAGACAAACTACATACTGAGAAAAAAATATTTTTAAACCATGTATTCAGTAGAGAACCTGTATCAAGTATTTACCAAGAAATCTCAAAACTCAACACTACGAAGACAACCCCACTAAAAAATGGGCACTGAACCCCCATGTTTGAATAGGCACTTCACCATGAGGAGATATAGATGGCAAATAAGTATGTGAAAAAGTGTTCAACGTCATTATCCACAATGCAAATTAAAATTAACAATGATATACCATGACAAATCTATTGGAATGACTAAAATTATAAAATACCGACAATGCTAAGTGCTGTCAAAGATGCAGAAAAATAGCAATTTGCGCGCATTGCTAATGGGGATGCAAAATGATAAAATCATTCTGAAAAGCAGTTTGGCAGCTTCCTACAAAGTTAAACACACCACATGACCCAGCAATGCCACTCCTGGGCATTTAGCCAAGAGAAATGAAAACTAATATTCATGCAAAAACCTGTACACAAATATTTATAGCAGCAGTATTCACAATCATCAAAAACTGGAAACAAACCAATGTCCTTCAAATAGAGAAACAAACTGTGGCACATATATATAATATATATATACATTACTACTCGGCAATTAAAAACAAATAAGCTATTGATACAAACAACAACCTGGATGAATCTCAAAGGTGTTATGCTGAGTGAAAGAAGCCAATCTCAAAAGGTCACATACTATATGATTCAATTCATATGATATTCTCAAAAGCTAAAACTATAGCAACGAAAAACAGATAATTATTTTTATGAGTTGCTGGTGGGGGAGCTTTTGATTACAAACAAATAGCATGAAGGAGTTCTTTGGGTTATAGAATTTTTCAATATCCCAATTGTGATGGCAGTTACACAAATCTGTACATGTGCTAAAATTTATAGAGCTGAACACCAAAAAGGTCAAAAATAAGAAAAATAAAGAAATATATATAGCCAACATCTTAGCACACAAAGGTGCACAATAAGTGTTTGTTGCATAGAATTACAAACAATGTTGAAGATCACTACTGCCCATATTTCACCCTGCCCCAACATAGTTGAAATTATTGTGTCCACTGGCTGATTATGTGTGTGTAAGCAAGAATGAGGTTGTCCGGGAGAGAAGACAAGTCAGTTAGAGACAAACTTCAGGATACTTTCACCATCATGGACACAGTTATCTTTAAGGTCACCAGGTCCAAAACTCTCATACACAACACAATCCTTTGGAGGAAGACTATAATAAACATGTTGTTTCACTAACTGCTACTCCTTTCCTTTTTCTTAACATCTCCAGAATCTCCCCAGGTGGGATTAAGCCCAACTCCAAATTTAGAAATGGCTTCTAATTACATTAAAGCAATCAGTCTTTTATTTTCTTTGACCCCTGTGATTGACTTAGTGGTTGGCTCCAGGAACTAAGAAAGGCGATTGAGGCCAACTGGACCCTATTTCTGGATTACTGTGTGAGCTATGACGTAAAATCCCTTTTTTTGTTGGGTTTGAGCCTGGAACCATGTCACTCTAAGGACTGGTTACAATCTTTCAGTGATAAAGAGAAAATCCACTGAGAGAGCAAGGAGGCAGAGAAATGAACTGAGAGTGAAAAACTGGTTCCCGGCCATATCACTTTCCCCTCCAGTCCAGTTTCCCACTTAACTAGGTGATAAAAAATACCAGACCCCTTTCCAGTCCTGCTAGCGCAAATCTCTAGGGAAGTCCTGGAAAACTTAGTCACACGTGGAGCTAGCCCTAAGGTTGGAGTTTTCAGGAGTATAAACCAATAAATTTCTTTTATTATTTCAGAGAATTGGTGATAGGTCTGTTACTTACCAACCAAAGCATCCTAGCTGACAGAAGCCAGCTAGATTTGTTTCCTTTTATTTTTAAAATCATTTCTTTGCAGGGAAGTAAGCATAAGATCAAAATGGGTTATTTTTTACATGCCTCTGATAAGTTCAAAGGACAACCTCAATTAGGATTTCCAGAACAACATGAAAAAAAGAACAGGTTGAGAAATCTCTCTTCCCTCCCACTGCTCCTCCCTCTGCCTCTCCTTTCTTTGATTAAATAGGCATTAGGACACCTTTTCAAAAAGGCTTTTCTGTGGTGTTCAGAATCATTTCTAGAAATTGAAACCTCAGACTTTCCAAGATGTACCTCAGTGCTGCATACCACCGCATACCTCTAAGTGATGGAAACAGCATTCCTATCATCGGTCTTGGTACCTACTCAGAACCTAGATTGGTAAGCTTATCTCTCTCTGTTTTTTTTTTTTTTAAATTAACACTTTCCTAAAGGATAATCTGTAATTCATTTTGAATGGATTTCATTGATTTAATTTTTGTAATAATGAATGCAACCTTGAAGGACTGCTGTTTGGCTGAATAAGTACTGAGCCAATGGTTAAAACTAAATCAGTTTATGATTTTAAAGTATCTTGGCTTAAAGAATGGGACCTTTCTGCTTCCTTTACTAAAATTCAGCCTGAATGCTGGTTATAAGGTTGAACTGAAGTATGTAAAATTTCTGAGTTTATGGTTTATGATTTTTTAAGTTCATATTTGAGAATTTTTAGTTCAGTCCAACAAAACATTTAGTGAAAACCTACCGTGTATGAAGCACTAGGCTATAGAAGCTTCAAATATGAAGAGAATAGTGTCTCTGCTGTCTAGGGATTAAAAATCTAATAGAGGAGACAGACTCTAATAACTAATTAATCATAGAACAATGAAGAGTAAATGCTGTCTGAGAATTTTAAACAGTATCTCTCTGAAAACACAGGAAAGGGAATAGTTAGATTTGACCATGAGGACTGAAGTGGTTTTCCATTAAAACACAGAAAAGCTTCTACTTGTAAGAAAAATATTTTTCTGCTTTCCACATTGCAATTCCACATTTAATGCTAATTACCGGAATAAACAGTGGTTATATCTAGAAATGCTACTGAAATTTGAATGATCATGTGTGAATGAACTCTGTTAAACTAAGTATAAGTTAGCTAGGCAGAGAAGCAGAGCTGAGGCAGGACATTGTAGGCAGAAAGAGAAGCACAGAGGCGCAAGGATATGAATCTGATTATGTCATGCCTCTGCCTAATTTTTCAATGGCTCCCTATCAATTATAGGGTAGAGGCCATACTCCTTACTTGCACATTGGGCCTTATGGTTTAGTCAAGACCTGTCAGTCCAGCAGCATCTACCACCACTCTCCTACCTCCCCCTCATGTAAAACATAGCTACCTGAGTTCCTTGAAAACTCTCCCATGTCCATGACCTTGAACGTGCTGCCCTCCACCTGGAACACGCTTTCTCCTGAGCTGACTAATTTTTACTAAACCTGCAAGACTCATCTGGAGGATACCTCTCCTTAGAAACCCATCTCCCATCAGCCACCACAACTTGCCCCTCCTGCATGTTCACATAGCCTCTCATACTCAACTCTGTTGTAGCACTTATCACACTATATTGTAACCATTGTTTCTGTGCAATCTTCCCTATAAGGCATAAAATCCATCAGGAAAGAGACCATGGCTTGTTCAGCCCTATATTCCCAGTATAGTATGCATGCTGGGTGTTCAGGTAATCCTTGTCAAGTGAATGAAAGGAGATATATATATATATATGTATGTGTGTGTGTGTATATATATATATATATATATATTTATATATATATATATTTATATATATGTATGTGTGTGTATATATATATATTTATATATATATATGTGCATCAGAGGATATGGAGATGTAAATGCATACAATAATAATAGCTAAAAATTTTTTTAACACTTAACCGTGTGCCAGGAACTCTTTGTAGTACATTATAGTACGTGCATTTTCTAATTTAATCCTCACAACATTATGAAAGAGATACCATTTTACAGATGAGAAAACTGAAGCATGGCAAGATAAAGTAAAATGTCCCAAACTTATAATGCTGAGGAAGAGAACTGGAATTTGAACCAATGTAGTTTTGGCCCTGGTCCTATCCTCTGAGTCCCTATACTATATTACCTCTTATAAATGTATGTTATGTCAATGCAGCTGCATATTTCTATGACTTTCTATATGTATTTCTATATATGAAAGTATCTAGGAATATATATCCAGAAAGTACCTAGGATGGATAGATAGATAGATAGAATGATACATCTAGGATATGAATCTAATTATGTCATGCATATATTCATTTCAATGACTATCAATTATATGGCTCCTTGCTTGCACATCTATCATTCTATCTATCTCTCTATCTCTCTATCTGTCTCCTGAAACTCAGTGGGGCTCAAAGTGCTGCATCTACCAATAAATATTATTAAGTGCCTGCTATGTGTCTAGTAATATTAAATGCTACAGGATGTAGACATTCAAAAGCATTCATATGTCATTTCCCAAAAAGAGTTGTAACTCACTTCAGAAGATAAGACATTACTGCAGTTAGAGAATATGGCATTCGAAAAATATTGTTAGAAATGAAGATTGTGCATGCACAGACCACATTTATGATCAGAAATACAGAACTAAAGGTATGTCTCACAAAATTGGAAACTCTAATGTGAAGGAAAATGCCCACCATGGAAGATTTGGCAGAGCTAGGTTGAGGGGGAGACGGGGAGTGGGGAGGGTGGAGTATCTCCCAGCTGGAACACTCAGCAGTTTCTATTCAAAGCCATACAACTGACAACTCCCTCACCATCTACCCAGGGCTGATGAGACAGACACTAGGAGGACCCATGCCCAAGTCGGTCACCAGGAAATAAAAGTACCAAATTAGATTTAACGTCAGAATCTTAGTCCTAGAGATGAAATCTGATGCCAAAATTCAGTCTTCTCTGCTCAGCGTGCCTGAGGTGCTTTTCAAAACCTTTCATTCCACAAGAGATGGAAGGAGAATGACAGGCTGAGGTAACTCATTAACTGAAATGCTTCACATTTCATGTATATAATCGAGTCAGTCAATATTTGTCCTGGGATCCTGTTCCATTTTGATACAGAAGTTAGCAGGCGCCAGGGGAAGATTTAGGCTTGTCTTCAGGGGGAGTCGGGGTAGGAGCAGAGATGAAAGGCTGAGATAAGGAAGACTAACAATAACCTCTCCTCCAGCATCTGCCCATTTGAGACTCCACTGTCACACATGCGGCAATAGGAACTGTAGAACAGCAGCCCGGAGGAACATTATTGTGCAGCTGTGTGAGGCCAACCAGCCTAGCTTCTCCTGACTTACAAAGATTTTTTTTCTCTTAATATGCCCAACTTTCTTATTAAGGTGTTTCATGCCTGTGGAGTCAGGGAATTTGAGATGATATGCCCAACTTTCTTATTAAGGTGTTTCATGCCTGTGGAGTCAGGGAATTTGAGATGGAACCAGCATTTAGTAGCACCAAGCACTCTGTGCATTTCCTCACTTGACAATCACTAACTAATGAAAACTGAACTGTACAAATGATCTATGCACCATTTCCCTAGGACAGATTCCCAGAATGTTTTCATACAGGGATGAAATAGTCTATAATAGCCTCCCAGCAAGTCTCCCTTCTTCCTGTCTCGCTCCCTATATCTCTGTCTGAGAAAGTCCGATAGGAAGAGTTTTGAATCTTGTTTGTTTTTCTGCTTTGATAGAAGTTAATTTGGTTTTTATGTATACAGCCCATGAGTTAATAACCAATATTTATCAAAAACTTCAAGTAAAACTCAAGAATGTTACCAAGTGTGCAAATGACACAAATCTGGGACCAATGGTAAATATTTTGGAAAATGGGCAATAATTCAGTTCAATAAATATTTATTGTGTGCCTACCATGTATGAGGCATTTTTCTGGGTAACACAGGGATCGAAATAATGGACTAGAAACAAGGGATTTAAAATCCATGAGTGACTGAAGGCAGAAAAAATAAATACACTTATAAATAAAATATAAAGAAAAGCTGAAGTGCTTGTTCAAAGATGAAAGTAACAGTGAACAAATCTAGTTATGGGGTAGATCAGGAAACACCAAGCTATAGGGAAGGAGTAGCCTAGATTGGGGTTGTAACTGATCAAGTATCCCTTCCTGGGTGGCTCTGGTTAAGATTTCTATAGCTGTAAACAGTTTTCACACTCTGAAGAGTGAGCCAAAGCCTTTGTATATAGGGCAAAGGAGAGGTGAAGTCCAATCTCTTGAGTACCAAGGAGGAGCCTGAAACATCAAGGGGCCACTGTGATGGAATTTTGTAGTAGGGAAGAGAGATTGGTGTCAACTCTGAATACATGGGCAAGTGAGAATTTATAACCAAGGTGCAGGGTTGGGATCTGTGGGTAGAAAATAACTAAGAGGAAACATCAGGAATAAGGGGCCATTCTGGCTAAACTGACCTAACAGGATTCTTGCTGAAGACAGGGTGGGGTGACTAGACATCTCCTGGGGCATGGTGGAGGAGGAGGAACCTGATTTGATATCAAGCGTGATCAGATATGGAGGGTGAGAGGTTGTGGTTAAACTGACTTAGTAGGATTCTTGCTAAGCTTGGACAGAGCAGAGATGAGTATGAAAGTCCATGTTGGAAAAGAGTTCAAAAGAACCTGATTAGAGTTTGGTCCATGAAAGAATCTTTGTCAGGGTTGAGGATGTTCCCACAATCTCTACCTAAAGGGACCAGGAACAAGGCAGGAACCATAAATAAGTGGTCCTAGAGGGCCAAGTCTATTTCTCAGTTTTGTTCTGCTTTCCCATTTTGATAGTAGATATAAGTGCAAGAAATGCTTTCTTCTTCTTTGCTACAAAACAAAAACAAAAAAACACAAAAAACATGTGCAGGTAACACTTAGGAGACGATTGATGGTACACAACACAATAAATAGAGTACCAGGGATACCACTCACCATTCTGAATGAAGATGGTAATTTCTCCACTACAGCTAATTGTCATGCATAAACAAAAGTCTAGGGTGGCCTGATCTTCTCACATTTTTCAAAGAATATTGTAAAGTAATTAATAATTTTTAAGTAATGGCAACATTTATATTTTTGTAAAACGCTATATGAGCTAGTATTTTAAGAGTCAAAGCTGGTGTTTGTTTTTACTTTTAGTAGAGTGTGTATCCTGAGTTCTTTGCAGTACCTGTGACCCCTTCACACTCACACTCCTGCCACATAAGCCTTGGCTCTTAGAAAGCAAATGCCGAGAACTGACTTATGCATTTTATGTCATTCCTCTCCAGAGGCAATGAATGCTGCACATCAAGCTGCAAAAAATGGTTTGCCGGGGGGCTGGGGGGAGGCGGTGGATGGTAACAAAAAAATACCAGGGAGAAAAAAGTAGGTTCATATTTCAAAGCTATTACCCTGCCAACGTTAAAACGAATTAAAATGAGAAGAGGTGAAATACATAGAGATCAAGTGAGATGGCTTCTCTAATAAATCAGGCAAAAAATAATAAGGACTTAACTTGGTTGGTGGCTGTGAGGAAAATAATTTGTCTGGGGCCTAAAAAAGAAGTAACTTGGCTGAAGGATACAAATCATGGGGTAGACTCTACAAAGCTTGGCAACCAATTGGATCCAAACAAAGGAGAACAAATAGTAGATCCAAGGTCAAAAATGGATGTTTCACACCCAGGTTACTACATTCTTTGGATCTAAAGTTTTGAACTTATTTGAGTCACTTACCTTTTATTTTTGGTTTACTTCCTTATTTTTTTAACATTTAAAATTTTGAAATATATAGAAGGGTGAATACTTTTAAAGCTAACATCTGAGTAACCACCACACAGATCCAAAATTAGAATATACCAACCCCTAGAAACCCTCTGTGTGCCCTTCCCAATTCAAAACCATCTCTCCCTCAAGAGGTAATTTATCTTCTAACTTTCATGGCAATTATTTTCTTGCTTTTTTCTAAAGGTCATATAACTTTTTTTAGGTAGATTGCCTATCTCCTCTTCATTTAGTTGTTCTTGTGGGTTTTTATCTTGTTCTTTCATTTGCAGCGTATTTCTCTGTCATCTCATTTTGTCTGACTTTCTGTGTTCATGGTCTTCTTTCCACAGTCTGCAGGATCATAGTTCCTCTTGCTTCTGGTGTCTGCCCCCTGGTGGGTGAGGTTGGTCCAGGGGCTTGTGCAGGCTTCCTGTTGGGAGAGGGTGGAGCTGGGTCATGTCCCTCTGATGGGCAGGGCCATGTCCATGTCAAGGGGTGTGTTTTGAGGAGGCTGTGAGCTCAGTACAACTTTAGGCAGCCTGTCTTCTAATGGGTGGGGCTGTGTTCCTATCTTGTTGGTTGTTTGGTGTGAGGCTTCCCAGCACTAGAGTGTGCAGGTTATTGGGTGGGGCCGGGTCTTAGTGCTGAAATGTGGACCTCTGGGAGAGCTCACTCCAATCAATATTCCCTGGGGCTTCCGCTACCAGTGTCCTTGCCCCCACAGTGAGCTATAGTATACCTTCACCTCCCCAGGAGACACGCCAAGACCCCTAGGTAGGTCTGGCCCAGGTCCCTATGGAAGTACTCCTGTGTGCTGGATCCCAGTGCATGTGAGACCCTCCAAGAGTAGAGTCTCTGTTTCCCCTGCCCTGTGGAGCTCCTGCACTCAAGCCCCACTGGCCTTCAAGGCTAAATGCTCTGGGGGTCCTTCCTCCCAATGCCAGACCCTCAGACTGGCACGGAGGGCTATTTTTATGTGGGAACATCCCTGTGTAGCCTGCATGGGTTTAATATTTTTTGGTGTGAGGGCTCTTTTTAGTATAGATGTCTGCCACCTCTTTCCTCAGTGTATGCTAGCTGTTATCCCTTTAATAGGAGGTGTGACTGATGTTGTGGTGACCAGAACCTGCACTGGATATTGAGCAGGGCCTCCCCTTTGCTCTCTGGTTGTCACTGCCCTGTCAGGGATGGGGTCTGCTCCCTAGTTGTCAGAGTAGAGTCCCCCAGATCTGTTTCTGATCTGTGTTTCTGATCTGCGGTGTGAGGTAGGTGGAACTGGAGCATTCCTCCTCTGGAGCTGTTCACCTATGGGTGTGCTCTGTTGTGTCACCTTCACCTGTTGTACAAGCTCTTAGATTACACTGTTGTTGGTACTGCTCTCGCTCCCACCTTAACCGTGGGAATGCCTGCAGTTGGCCCCAGTGTCCCTCAGACATTGTTTTCACCAGGCCACCAGCGCACATCCACTGAAGTCAGGTTCCAGGATTGCAGTAAGCATGGATCTGGACCTGCTGTGTGCACTATGGGGGCAGCTCAGACTCTGGCCTGGCCCGACCCCCTGTGTAAGTGCCCACAAAGTCTACAACTGCTAAAGTTAGGCCCATCTTGGCTGCAGGAGTACCTGCTGTCCATTTAGATGTTCTGCAGGCACTTAGCTTACAAAGCTGGTCGCAGGGTCATCAATTCGCAGTTTGTGCAGCTGCAAGGAGAGGCTTTTCTTCCTTAGTTGCACAGCCCCTGGGGCTCAGCTGTGGTTTCAGCACCACCTCTGCATGTGGGCCACCCACAGGGGTCTGCTCCCAAGGCTGCCCTAGAGCACACAAGTCTGTCCCGGTGAGGAGGAGTATGTGGATGCAGCAGCAGCGGGGGTCACAAGAGCTCCTGCCCCGGCAGGAGCCCTTCCCCGTGCCCAGGGAGGCAGGGGCCTCATGTGGGGAGAGAGGCTGCAATGGCAGTCCTGCCCCTTGCAAGTCACTTAACAATGGTGCTTCACTTCTATGACGGTCTGGGTTTCCTCTACAAGCATTCCTAGTTGCGGATTTCCTCACTTCCATCCCCTCAGGCTGTCTCTGCACAGTCAACAGAAGTCTTCTCCCCGGGTCTGCTCTCCAAACCCCACATTTTAGCACCCAGCCCCCATACACACTGGCGACACACCTCTCAGGCTGGGGCACACAGGGCTGTGGCGAGGACCATCTGTGTAGGTCTCACTCTGTCCTGCCTGCCACAGACAGGTTGCTGGGCTCTCCTCTCGTGGCCCCCAAAGTTCCCCTTCTGTCCCAACTGACCTCCTCGCTGGTGAGGGGGCTTCCCCGGGTGCGGGAACCTCTCCTCACCTTCAGCTCCCCTAAGGGGTGCAAGTCCCATCCCACTTCCTCTCCTCTTCCTTTTCCCTTCTTTCTTTCATCCTACCCAGTTACGCAGGGGTCTTTCTTGACCTTTTAGGTGTCCGAATTTGTCATTTTCGCTATAAAACGATGTATGTGCCAAGTGTCCTGATCAAGAATGATTTAAAGAAAAGACACATTTCTCTTCTCCCCCAACCCAACCCCCCTATCATTTTAGACCCCTAAGGGGACCTGTGCAAGATCAGTGAAAATTGCCATTGACACGGGGTACCGGCACATTGATGGCGCCTACCTCTACCAGAACGAGCACGAAGTGGGGGAGGCCATCAGGGAGAAGATAGCAGAAGGAAAGGTGCAGAGGCAGGATATCTTCTACTGCGGAAAGGTGAGGTCTTCCCTTCACCCTACAGGACTTATGTTCATGGTGGGTCTGACGTCTTTTTTCTCTGCTGAAGAATGTTGAATTCACGAAACCCTGGCAGGCTTGCAGGATCTTAGTTCCCCGTGTCCCCAGTGGAAGTGCAGAGTCCTAACTGCTGGACTGCCAGGGAAGTCCTGAGGAGTGAGTTCTTAACTGCCAAATTCCTCAATCTTGCCAAGAATTTAGGGACTAATTAGCCCCATGAAGTTTAGGGAAAAGTTCTTTCTTCATACTTGGGCATTGATTTAAGACAATATGGAAGAGCCAAATCTACAAAGAAAGTTGATTTGAGGAGTGAAGGGAAGTAAGGAGGTGGTTCATATTATAATAAGCATTTGTCAAAACTTCTTTTAAAAGGAGGCAGCTTTTTCTTCTGTATATGCCTATTTGTCCATAGATCACTAATTTTTTTTGAGATATAATTCATGTACCATAAAGTTCACCATTTTTAGTATATTCACAAAGTTGTACAACCATGACCACTACCTTTTCCAGAATATTTTTATCACTCCAAAAAGAAACCTCTTACCCACTAGTAATCACTGTCCATTTATCCCTCTCCCCCATTCACTGGTAAACACTGATCTACTTTCTGTCTCTTTAGTTTTCCTATTCTGGACATTTCATACAAAAGGAATCATACAATATGTGTTCTTTTCTGTCTAGCTTCTTTCACTTAGTATAATGTTTTCTACTTTCAACCATGTTGTAGCACATATCAGAATTTCATTTCTTTTTATGGCCAAATAATATTCCATTGTATGGATATACCACATTTTGTTTAGCTCACTACCTTTTGAGAAATTGAAATCTCCAGAAATCACTATCCATTGAAGAGCAATCAGAAAGATAAAGCATCATGATAAAATGAAAGCCAGTGGAAATATAGGATACATACTTACAGGCAGCCTTGCAGGAATAAACTGTATAACTTTAGAGAACTTGTAATACAATTCTCCTAAGTTTTCTAAAGAGAACAAAATGGTGCTTCTGACTTCACTCACTCCCCAGAACCCCGTCCTCCCTACTCCTTTCCAGCCTCTCCAGGAGTTTGCAGTTCCCCAAGTCACCAGCCACTTATGGGCTATGATTTCAAGGGGCCATGTAGAGCCACTGTCCCAAAATATCAGCCTGAAGCTTTTCACTTTATTATAGCTTTACAGCCTGATTCCTAAAGATTTTGTTATTACAGAGTCTCTCATTACAACTCACCAAGTGTTTCTGGGGAAAAATAAACTTGAAGTCATATCCTGAGGACCTGAGCCAAAGAAGCCTGCCCAAAGCTGGAAATATTTTTGAATTTATTAAAAAAAAAAAAAAACTTTCATTCTTATCTCCTTGGTAAACCGTTAAAGCTGTTGGAATACCTATGATGATGAAAAAATTGAACTGAATTAAATCACCCATTTCATTTCATTTCAAGGTTGATATGAGTTAACATTTACAAAGCACTTAAAGAGTAGTACTGCATGTGTTTGTTGAATAAAAATAGATTAAAACATAAAACAGAATTTTCAGTTAGATGAGATTTCAACAATACACCAAAAGGACCCACAGTAACAACAAAAACACATTTTTCTCTACTCTCACATTGTCTTCTCTATGCTCTGAAGGCAAGAAAAAAAATTATTGTCCAACATAGGAAAAAAATAAAATTTTGCTAATTTTGCTTGCTCTTACTTGTGGCAAAAAATGTACATAAATTCAAAACTTTTTTTTCCAAAAAACATGTAAGCAAATTTGATGCTCCAAGAAGATGTATTCATTTATCCTGAAGCTCCGGGTACCCTTCAGTATCCCATGTTTTACAGACCTCAAGGGTACACATGCTCCAGTTTGACAACCCAAGGCTTAATCTTTCATTACCTAACACTTTAGAGAACGAGTAATTTCTTTTTTTTTTTTTTTTTTTTTTTTTTG